TCAGATACATGGCCATCACTACATAAAAGATCTAATGCTGGGAATAAAAGCAAATGGTGAGTGGGGGAAAATGCTGAGTCCTGTGGTGTTAAGGTGGGATTTTATGTTATAGATCTAACTTCTCCCACTGGACATTGTTGTGGGAGCAATGAGAGCAATTCAGTGGGAGCAATGGTCAGTGCTGAGCACTTTCGAAAATCCAGCTTTTAAGGTCAGTCCACATGTTACCTTTTGCAGCATTCTCTGGAGTCCACGCTTTGGTTAAAGGGATGGCACCAACTTCAAAATCACACTTCCTCCTGAAAAATAGTGTTCCTGGCTAATGCTGTACATTGCAGTTAAGGTGACTTTCCTTGAAAGAATTTGGAGAAAATAAAGCCTTCTCCCTCTGCTTTTCACTCTGTTTGTTTAAGGCATGGAGGATAGGTCTGAGTCGCTCTCTAAGCCAGTTTCCCCTGTTGTTAATGTAGGTTTTTCATGCTGCAGAAAATGAGACAAAAATATTACAAAAACACATAAGTATTTGCTAGTGATTCCCAGGCATGTGACACAACAAATATGCATTTACTTCATATTGTGAAATGGTCTTGGCTTCAAGCTTGTGAAATCACTTTAACAAAAAGTGTTGTTTTCTCTATAGCCAGACTCCTGCCATCTATGTGTGAACCAAGAACTAAGTTAACCCACCCTTGCATTAAATTATCTCCAGGCAAATTATAGAGCAATGGCAAGGCTGAGAAGTCCCTTTCAGCCTCTCCATTCATCCCACTGATATGTGAATCCTGGCGTGAAACGCTAACCTCCTGAAAGGTGACCCCTTTGGTTTCTTTACAATTTAGGAAAAGATAGCCTTGAAAGGTTTTAAGGCCCCTTAGGCCCAACAGTCCAGTGAACAGAAAAAGACACAGCAAGTAGAGCGGGACCATGATGTGCAGTTGATCCTGTCTATCCTGCTATCCCTTTGTCCATCAGTAGGCAGCTCCCAGAATATTGCAGGGTAAAGTGACAGGTACAATGTTGCTTTCAGGGGCATCTGAGGTTTTACAGCCAGATACTAATCAACTTCTAAGGCATCTCCACTTAGGCAACACAGCACAGCATGATGTAGACACACGAGGAGTGATCCAGATCAAAAGAGTTAGGTACCAGGGCATTCTGCACAGTTACTGGGGATGCCAAAGTGTCTCCCAAGGGCCATCCAGGTTGCCTGACTGTCAGCAGGAAGGCACCTACGTGCAGCCCATGTTAAAGCATACTACTCCTAAGAAAAGAAAAGCAAGTGTCGACATACAGAATGGGAGATAATGGGCTTGGCAGTATCACTGCCTGCCAGCAAGAATAGCAGCAGTCTCGGTACTGATTAGGCCTCAGCTAGAGTATTGGTTCTAGTTTGGAGCAACACAGTTTTAGGAAGAAGGTAGAGAAACTGGAGAGGATCCCGTATGAGTGACAGCGATGATGAAGGGTTGGAGAATGATCTGTCGGAGAAAAGGTATGAACCCAGTATGTGTAGTCTGGAGAAAAAGAGATTAAGAGGGCACATAATAGCAGTTTTGAAATATTAGAAAGGCTGCTAGAAAGAAGAAAGAACCACTGGTCTCCCTTACCACAGAGCACAGAACATGGTTTAAACGATAGCAACTAAATCTTAGGAAAGACTTCCTAAGTGTAGGAACCATTAGGCAGTGGAATACGCTGCCCAAGGGAGTAGAGGCATCTCCTTCACTGGGAGTTTTCAAGAAGAGGCTACATAAGTGTCTGTCTGGGGTGGATTACAAACAACCCATTCTCCATCTGTTCAGGGTTTGGCCTAGAAGACCCTTGGGGTCTTTTCCAACCCCATGAGTCTAGCCAACAGGGGGGAAGACAAAGGGATTTGTCTCTATTTCTACTCCTCCCTGGGGCTTTAGCTGCTGATTCAGGGCTGCAATGGCAGCATTTCCATGATGCCAGGACCCAGAGTGCTCAGTGCTGACATTCCTGTATGAACCACAACACTGACAGATAGCAGCACTGAATTCCCTGTAAAGCACAGCACCCTCCATTCGCTGTTGCACCTGAAGACGGTACTGCTGCACACCTTTTGTCCACCAGCTTCGTGGTTAGAGCACTCGCCTAGGAATTGGGACCTCTGGCTTCTGGGCCTATCTTGCACTGAGAGGATGCATAACCATGTACATTAGGATGTGGGCAAGTCTGGCCAGGAGTCCTTCCATTCCTCTGGTTGGAGAAGCCACACTAGGCAGACATAAGTACAAGACTCACAAGACCAGAAAGAGAGCAAGCAAGTGGGAGCATAACTGTGGCCAAGTGGAGGCCTGGGTTCAGGCCCCTTTTGCCACCGTTATTTTTGTTTCATTTAAATCAACAACTTCAAACAGTGACCTGTTGACTTAAACCAATGACCATCTAATTTCAGATTCATATAGTCCATTTAGCCATCCAATTTCAAACACACCTCCTTGGTGTCTGCCTGAAAATGGGACAGAATGATCGTATGATCAAAGTGACAGGTGTTTAAAACAGGACAGTCTCAGCAAAACTGGGAAGTGTGGTCACCTGAAACCATTTGAGTGCTTTTGAACTCGTGCTGTGCCTTAAGATAAGGTGCCTAGGACTTCCTATACAGGGATCCTTTCAGGCTAAAATGGAAGTGGCCCATGAATCTAGTGGCCTACATGGTTATGTAGTGGCTGAATGGGGACAGTTAGGACTGTCTTTGTTATTAAGGTGCCAAAATTATCCTAAACTCCTGTGTAGGGACCAATTAGGGTCTGGCCCTTGCCCTTTTGTATCAGAACTGTCCGATTTGTAAGGGCTGCACAATGCACAGACGGTGCCAGCATGAGCCCCAGGTCCCCAGAACTGCATGACACAGGGGAACACCTCCCTCCCACCCCTGCTTCACCACACCAATGCCCTTCCCATTTCACTGCAGCTTCACAACCCCACGCTACCCCATCCCCTGGGCTTGGAGCAAGGGAGTCCATAGACCCTGGCTGATGCTGTAGCCTTAGCTTGGCAGGAGCTCAACGGCTGCAAATCAACCCCTTGCGGGTCGCATACGGTCCTGCTTTTGCATTATGACACTGCTGACACAGTAGGACTATCTCCACCTCCTCCGTGCTGAGAGTCTTCCAGCTTTGGCAAACTACAGGCTTGAAAAGATTTAATTTTCAGTCTCCTTTCTGAGTGATGGATAACTATCCAGCCCCTAGGAGGTTAGGAGGTGTTTGTGTTTGTTGGTTCATGCCAGAAGGGCACCTAAGCCACAATTGCAGATGCACATACCTCCATAAATTTCAGTCTCATTTGGGATCCCAATTTTCCAGCCAAGGCCCATCTATATACGGTTCAGAAAGCCCAACGTGTTTTTCTTATTCAATACAGACAGTTTGTGTCAGATCTTCAAAAGAGTTCAGATCCTTGATCCTTGACCTAAGTGCTCAGTGTCCCGCAACTCTGAGCACAAAGAAGTCTCATCTTCCCTCATCTATTGAGGATGATGGGAAAGTCGTCTTCTCCTCTCTTGTCCATACACACACTTTGAACACGTTGGAAAATGTACCCTCTGTCTCCTCCCTCCCGTAGAGAACAATAGAAAAGTCTCCCTCTTCCTCGGCTGAGCACAACAGAGAATTCCTGCTCTTCCTATATAACCATGTAAGATGATGGATGCTGAGTTGCTTTCTTAAATACATTTATATATATTATTTTCCTGTTTCTTACACATGCAGACATGAACATGATGTTTGATTCTACAGGCTTGACATGTCTAGAAGTACTGCAGTACTTGTGATGTGCCTCAAAAATATAACTTGTGTCTGATGCAGGAGACGTTCGCCATCTTCATCTTTGGAGCAGAGTTTGCCTTAAGAATCTGGGCTGCTGGCTGTTGCTGTCGGTACAAAGGATGGAGGGGGAGACTCAAATTTGCCAGGAAGCCTTTGTGTATGCTGGGTAGGCACAAATTCTTTCTTATTCTCTGTGTATGTATTTCGCTGGGTCACATATAGTAGATCTTCCCTAAAAATCCCCTAGTAAAAGACAAGTGTAAAAGCTGTAGACATTCAGCCCCCAATCCACGGTAGACATTCCACGGTGTTTAGAAATAATTATTAAGTGCCTAAAAACAACGATTTGTTTGAGAAATCTTTCTGATACTGACTGAGATGTTCTCCTGGATCACAATCACTTTAATTCACATGGTAGTTAAGTTAGAAAATGGCATATAAAAATGGCGTGTCTTCACTCAATATGCCTGCTCTCCATGTGTCTTTGAACTCATTCTGAAGGCTTTAGTGATTTAAAAAGCTTGATTTGTAATCCAGTCTACTTGATAAAACACTGGACTTGGGAGCAGGAGCCACTGGGAGGCTTCACACCCAAGCTTTGTCTAAGTTTCTGTGTAACGTTTCCAATGTATAGGTTTTCCTGTTCATCCAAGCAGCTAAAACTCTTGTCCAGGTTCTCCTTATCTTGAAACTCCATTACTCTAACATTCTTTCCGCTTGCCTGGACATGCTGTTATGCCTCACCGACAGCTACACTGGATCTCACTTCAAAGATCATCTTCCCAGCCCATCACATGGATCAGGTCCCCCTTCTCTGTCATGTAAAATTCAAGTTGCTTGTCTTCACTTTCAAGGCCCATCACAACCTATCTCTACCCTCCCTATCATGTTGAAAGGTCAGCTCCCACCATCTTCTCCAAACCCCTCCTTTGCCATGGTTCCTACAAGAAATGTAATGACCTTTAGGTTGCTCACATGCTAGGATTATTTTCTGTCATACTGGCCATTATCATCCTGTTGTTTCTTTGTGCTCCTTTGTCCATCTGCATTCATCTCTTATCTTACACATAGATTGTAAACTCTTCAAATCTTTTTGATCTCTGATGGCATAGCACCTCACACAGTAGGGTCCTGGTCCAGGACTAAGGCTCTTGCAAATAAATAACTAATAATTGTTTCTCTCCTGTCTTGTATCCATCTTATTTTTCAGAATGTAAACTCTTCTGGACAGGGGTTAGAATTCGCAATGTATTTCTGCAGCACCTCCCATGTTTGCATTGCATTTGTGGCTGCATTGTTACTGTGTTACAGTTGCAACCACTTTTTATAAGCCAGCTGGGCTTTGTTGTGTCTTATGCATCTGCAATGAAATCGTCATCTGCATTGGAAGAACAACATCTCTACTGATAATGATATAAGGAACCCAGTTGGATTTTTTTAAATCTCTTGATTTGTAAATTATGTGGGTTTGTTTTCAATCTATTGAGAGAAAATGAATAGGAAACCCGCATAGTGTGACATCACAGGCTTTTCTTTATTACAAATGAAGTCTTAAGATCAAGTGGCCAAGAGCTATAAGATCATTTCTGAAATTGCTACTTATAGTTTCATAGTTTCATAGTTTCTAGGGTCGGAAGGGACCTTAGTAGATCATCTAGTCCGACCCCCTGCCATGGCAGGAAGGAGTACTGGGGTCAAACGACCCCAGCAAGGTGATCGTCTAGCCTCCTCTTAAAGACCCCCAGGGTAGGAGCCAGCACCACTTCTCTTGGTGGTGGTTAGGAGGAGTTTGTGTTTGTTGGTTCATGCCAGAAAGGCGCCTAACACCACTACTTGTTTCCATGTGGATAATTTTGGGCTCAGAAAGATCTACCAGTAAGAAAGCAGTCTGCATTTCACTCCTCTTTGGCCCTGTGATACCCTTATGACACTAACCTGAGCAGTCAGCCAGTTTGCCAAAACCCAGGGAACACCATCAGGAAAAGAGGAGTTTCTTATCCAATAACCATTTTGTGTTTAGTATTTCTTTTTGTTCAATACAACCCACTCATGGGATATCTCAACTTTGGTTGTTTTTCTCTTTGATGTATAAGCCTGCATTTAAATATCTTCCGTTCCTCTCACTAAATGAGCTCACAGAGGGATATCGCAGGGGGGTTGCAAAGAGGATGAAGTTGCAAAGAGGATGTTCTCAGTGATGGCAGATAAGAAAACAAGGAGCAATGGTCTCAAGCTGCAGCAAGGGAAGTTTAGTTTAGATATAAGGAAAAACTTTCCCACTAGGAGGGTAGTAAAGCACTGGAACAGGCTACCTAGAGACACTGTGAAATCTCCATCCTTAGAGTTTTTAAGACTTGGCTTGACAAAGCCTTGGCTGGGATGATATAGCTGGGGATGGTCTTGCTTTGTGTAACCCTAATTTTCTATATTTACATGTCAACTGGGTGATCTGTAGATTACCTGAATCCCAGATTTGTCCTATCCCTGCCACAGGCTGTGCTTGAGACATGAGTATATCTTTCATTGGCTACAGAAATCATTCATTACTGGGCTTGCGCTCTTCCCAGCAAATGTTATAACACAAATCCATAGAATTTAGCAGCAGGGAATGGGAACACTCTTACGGCAGGATTTTTTAATATATTTTGTTTTGCAGATATCTTTGTGTTGATTGCCTCGGTACCAGTGGTAGCCGTTGGAAACCAAGGCAATGTTCTGGCTACATCCCTCAGAAGTCTGCGCTTCCTTCAGATTCTCCGGATGCTCCGAATGGACAGAAGGGGTGGCACGTGGAAGCTTTTGGGATCTGCCATTTGTGCACATAGCAAAGTAAGTGAGAGACTTGATGGACCAATGCAACTTAGAGTGGGGAAAAGCGAAGGCCCTTCTGTGCTAAAGCAGAAGTCTAGAAGTCAAGGTACATGAGTGTTTTGCACAACTCAAACACAGACCTGCTCAGGGGTGGATCCGGAGGGGGTGCAGTGGCACAGCCCCACCCCCTTTTCTGACCGTACCACAGAAGCAGCATTCAGGGACTTTTAAATGACCCTAGCAGGTAAGAATGCTCCTCCCTTCTCTCCTTGCTCAGAGGCACATCCCCTCCTCTTCTCCTTGCAGTGCCCTAATGCCTGGCTTGCTCCCTGTGGGAACTGGCACCATGGGGTGCTATACCTATCTCACTTCTCCCTCACTGGGCTGTAGCAGGTGGGCAGAAGGTCTGGGTACCCCAAATCCTGTTGAGTTGTATTTATTGATTTGCACTACTGCAGTTCCCAGACAGGTCAGGGTCTTAACGTGTCAGATATTGTTCAGACATATAGTGTAAGCTAGTTCTGGCCTCTGACCAAGCTTATCTGAAAATCAAGCCAAGGTTTTTACTTTTTGCCTGAATATAGAATTGGGTGCCTGTTTTTTAACAGCTAAGTTTGAAAATATCAGGAACTATTTGTCCATCAGTAAGATTGTTATAATCCTTCCTTACCGCGGCGTATCAAACCCAGGGAAAGGCCTGAGTGCTTGAAGTACAGGCCTAGGGTCCTCTACTCCAGGGCTCATTTGATGATACCAGAATCCTAGTTTTCTCATAAAAGAGCCCCTTAAGTTTCTTGTCCTTAGGATTGTGAAGAACGGGTCAGAAATGTGATTCAAGTGTAGCTGATGCAGTGACATCCCACACATTTTAATAGCTTGTCAGCTTCAAGATGCACTAATGTTGATCCTCCACTGTCACATCATCAGAGAGAGGGCTGTCTCTGCCACAATATTCTTGATTAAGTGGAATTTCATTAAAGCATCCATTTTTTGTCAAGCTTTCATTGGGAGTGTGCAAGAGAGAAAAACAAGGTTCTTTGGGTAGGTGTGATATCTTTTATTAGACTAACTAAATAGTTGGAAAAATTATTCTTTGCAAGCTTTGGGGCACAAACACCCTTCTTTAGGCATAGAGAGAGCCTGTTGGTGTTTTTTATGGTCTCCTAGGTAGAATAGAAGCCAATTTGCACGTCTGGGAAAATGCAAATGTGTGGCAGTGGGGATCAGAGGTAATGGGAAACAATCAGTGTGAGACAGGTAGGTATGGGAAGATGTGGGGAAGAGAGAATGTGGAACTAGTGAGATTGGAGAGCCGAGAGATTGGAGAGAATGGTTGTCTTGTGAGAACTGTGCCCCTCACAAGTGCACCTCACAGCTCTAATCCTCAAAGGGAATTTACACAACACCTTTAGTAGGCAAGCCTACAAACTTCATTTCATAAATCTACTGGACACAAAAAATAATGGACTAAATAGAGACATTGGATTTATGGCACATTATAACCTCCCTAACATCTAATAACTCCAGATTACATGTCGGCATTTTACCAGCTACGTTCTGTCACCTGTTCAACATTTCCCCTTCCCCTGCTCCACCTACCTGTCTCACACCTGTGGTCTTCCACCCCTCTGATCCTCACTGCCACATATTTGCATTTTGCATATTGGCTTCTCTTCTACCCAGGAGAGCACACAAAACACCCATAGACTCTCTCTATGCCTGAAGAAGGGTGTGTGTGCCCGAAAGCGTGCAAAGAACAACTATTTACAGTAAAATCCCTGTTCTCTGGCATTTGAGTAACTGGAACACTCTATTAACTGGAATTTACAGCTGGCCAGCCTGATGCAGGTGGGGAGGGTGGAGCTCGCATGCGGCGGCTGCTGCCACCACCCCCTACACTGTGCTGCAGCTGTTCTGTGCACCCCTCCCCCCCCCCCCCCCCCCCCCGACTCTGCGTCTGGCTGAAAACCGCCAGCCTCAGGTAACCAGCATTTCTAGATACCCAGCACCCCCCATTCCCCACTTGTGCCAGATGGCCTAATAAAAGATATCACATTTGCCCAAAGAACCTTGTCTGCCTATCTCCCTAGACCATGGCTACAACCAACACCCCTGAGAGGAGAAACACTGTATTACTTGCTAGTGATGAGTGGTCTGCAATGTAGAAGACCCAGACTCATGTCCCTGCTCTGCCTGGTCCAGAGTGATAGGGGATAAAATACTGTCCCTTGAGATAGAAGAGGAAACTTGAGCCTACATTTGGGCACACGCTGTCATAGCAAGGAGCTCAGGTATTGATTAAAACATTGTATTTTTCTGAATATCTGAAAGTTCCTCTTTTGTTTCAATAAAGAAAGAAAATATTCTTCCAGAACCTCAAGTTGCCACATAACAGAAATGGTCATTTCCCCTTCAGCTCCAGCTCTAACCTGTGTTGTAGCAGAAGAGTAGTGTGCAGAGGCTGATAGAGGTACCTTGACTGCTGTGGTAACTATGTGGGCGAGGTGGGGCTTCCTTCCCTTCGGCCTGCCTCTGCAGGGGCAGACAAGGTCCCTGCTGTTGATTTGGGAAGGTAGAGATAGCCCCAGAGGGCTGCCCCAACTTGAAGGGAAGTAAGCGTTGTGTTCCAGGTAAAGGCATGGGGTGCAAAGCCACGGTGCAGGGACATGATCCCTGTGCTATGATGGGTTTAGGTCATAAATCCAGCTTTGGGCAAAACTGTGTTTGCAAACTGCTTTAAGATCTTCAGGGCAAGGTGCTGTGTATGGGCTAATTAGTGTTGCATCTCTGCAGTGTTTCCCAGTCAGTGCTGTGCTGTGCCGGTTATGGACTCTGATCAAAGCAGTAGTGACAGTCCAAGCTATTATACCCTGTGTTTCTCATCTCCCTTGCTGCTTGACTTGCAGTACTGCTACAGCAGAAGCTGAAGCTGGTTTCCGTTTCCTCAATGTCCGTCTGTTTCCATTTCAGGAACTCATCACTGCCTGGTACATTGGGTTCCTGACACTTATCCTCTCCTCGTTTCTTGTTTATCTGGTTGAAAAAGATGTGCCTGAAAAGGATGCCAATGGAGTCGAGATGAAAGAAGAGTTTGAAACGTATGCAGATGCACTGTGGTGGGGGCTAGTAAGTAGTTGGAGACATTCTTACGTCTTGGTTGAACAGAAAAGAAGCCATGTGGTTTATGTCAGAGGGGAATGGGAAGCACTAGAGGTAACATTTTCCAAAGCGATTTAGGCACCCCTTAGCTTAAGCCCTATTTATTTTCAATCCTACATAAACTTGCAGGTGCCTAAATCACTTGAAATTGAGATGTGGACTCATTAGTCCGTTTAGGTGAGATTCACAAAGGAACGGAGGCACTGAAGCCTAGGAAAGCCATTTACAGAAACTTGGCCTAGCTCCCTCTTTACCATTCAAGATGCCCTAGATGGCAAAATTTTTACCAGGAAACCTACTGAGGTGTCCTAGCATTTGTCAAGATGGGCTGTCACCTGTGGAAATGTATGCCTTGAACCAGTTGCTCTCCAAGGTGCCAACTTGCCCTCCCTTCTGCCTGACTTGGGACTAACATGGCTAAACACCTCTCTAGATGTCTGGAGAGCAGTGAGCACGTAGGTCTAGAGTACGCTTGTCCAACATACGGCCCGCGGGCTGCCATGCGGCCTGCCAGGCATTTTCTGTGGCCCACAGTGCTGCAACGGGAAACAAAAATAAACACGATTTACTTTCATTCCCACCCCTTGTCCCTCCCCCAGCCCCTCAGCAGCTTCCTAATGGCTGCTGAAGAGCTGGGGAAGGGACAAGGTTTCCACACGCGCTGCATCAGCTTGATGTTGCCAACACGGTGTGTGTGGGAAGAGGAGTAGCCGTGGGCCGCTTGGGACAGGACGAGCCAGGCCAGAGCAGCTGGGGCTCAGCTGCACTTTCCCTCTACCTGCGCTGGTCAGTCGGGAGCGGCACACGGCTCTGCCGCCACTTCTGCTGGCCAGTGCCAACCCAGCCGGGCTCCTCCTGTCCCCAGCAGCATGTGGGAAGCCAGCTTCAGCTGCGTGCTGCTCCAGATGGGACAGACCCGCTCCAGTCAGCAGCAGCCAGCAGAAGTGGCGGCAGAGCTGTGTGCCGCTCGGGACTGACCAGCGCAGGTAGAGGCAAAGTGCAGCTGAGCCCCTGCTGCTCCGGCCGGGCTCATCCTGAGGTTCATTTAATGTTTGTGAAATGCTTGGAGAGCCCCACATAGATGCACTGCATAGAAATGCAAAATATATTTTGACTTATTTGGTTAGCACCTTGGGCTGAGATTTTCAAAGCTGAGTCAAAAGGCCAACTTCCATTAAAATGAATGGGATTTAGAGGGCTCCAAATCTTTTATGCCAACTTTGTAACATGCCTATCTACTCCTTTTTGCACATCACAGCCATAGTTTGGAAGCTCAGCCAAAGAGCATAAGAGCTTCTGAACATACGAACATAAAAAGCGCCATGCTTGGTCAGCCCCATGGTCCATCTAGCTCAGTATCCTGTCCTGAACACTGGCAGAGGTGGATGCTATACAGGGAGAGTTTTGAAATGGTTAGACCCATTTCATTGTCACTTCCTGCAACTTCATTGGTGTCACAGGTCACGTGACATCACTTCCTGAAGTGATACCACTTCCTGTGAGGTCTTCGAATATGGCTCGCTGGCCCACTGGGTGATAAAAAGTTCATGATCCGGCCCCACATTCAAAAAGGTTGGACACCCCTGGTCTAGAGCATGTAGGCGCTGCCATCTTGGTTGAGTTGAGCTCTCTAGGCATCTGTCTTACACTTAAAAGACCAGTCAAGATTCACAAAGTGAGGGATCCTCGGATGGACTTGATCTCCTAGGTATTGCCCTGAGCGCGTCTAACACCAACTGACACCCCAGAGTTCAGCACCCACAGTCAACCAGCGCATCGGTGCCACTCACCTCTCGTACAAGAGTTTAGTGCTCAGAGCACTTGCACAAGGAATGGAGACCCTGAGTTACGGGCCTCCCACAGCTAGGAAGGATTCAAAACCACATTTCCCACTTCTGAAAAACAGTTAATGACTCTTCAGTGAAAACCATAAAAACACTCCTGAGGGCTCCCTCTTGCTTGCTTTTGCTCCGGCCCCAGAAATTCTCTACTCTTGGCTTCTCAGTGCCCCAACCCAGCTTCAGCCAGAAGGACAGAGACTAATCTGCCCCCTACCTCAGCTTTGTCTCTACCTTGGGGGTTAGGTACTCTTTTGGGAGCTTGGAGATATGGGTTTGAGCCCTCCATGGGCTCTGGAAGGCATAGAAACCAGATTGCCCACGTCCTGGGTGGAGCCAGGAGACTATTATAGAAAAGGTATGCAGCAACCGTGTTGTGAAAGAAAAGAGTGAGCTAGTCGTCTTTACACCGGGGAACAACATGGACACCTGAGTCTAGTAAGGCTTTGGGGGTGTAAATGTCAGTCTCCTGTAGGCACCTTACCCCAGCCTTGCTGGTAGACACCTGAGTATGGAGGGAGACAGGACCTCTATTATCCCTTCCACTTTGGTTTTCCTCTTAGCTGTCTCGGGCTCTCCGCTCACTGTGCTGGCTTTATTATGAGGTCTCTTGCTGGTGCCTGGCATGCCCCATTTAAAGTGGAGAACTTAGACGTCACCTTGGGTTCCTAAATCCCACTCCCAGAACCAGATGCCTAACTTTTAGGTGAGGAAACAGTCCAAGGGCATGTTTTCTAAATGCTTTGCTAATCCTGTCCTTATGTGCTTTTTGGAAACTTTACCCCAGACTTGGGGTTTATTTACACCCAAACAGTAGGTCACAACATTTCTGGGGTGACATACTGCTCTACACTCCTGTAATACTGTTAGATGGGTATTAACAACAGTAACATGGTGGCGCTACAACCACAATCTTCAACAGCCTGAAAAATACTGTACAATTATTCTTCTTTGCTTTTTCCTCCTTGTCTTCCATCCATCCTTACCCTTTCCTTCTTCTGCTTCCCTGTTCCTTTCTCCCACACACCCTCTAAAACTTTGCCGCAGACCTCTGGCAGTGCATATAACCCATTTTGAGGAAGTTTGCACTGCAACAGCCTCTGTTTCTATTGGTAGGTCAGCAGCACCCCCTAGTGGGCACACAGAAGGTCAAAGCAAAGACAAATAATTTGGAAATGCAGGAGTGATAGGAAAGCATAAAAAAAGAGCTCGTCCCCCTTGCCAATTTGCTCGGTCTTTCTTATAAAAGGTGAACCCATTCTCTCCACAGATTACGCTAGCTACAATTGGCTACGGTGACAAGACCCCCAAAACGTGGGAGGGACGGCTAATAGCGGCCACGTTCTCTCTCATTGGAGTTTCATTTTTTGCTCTTCCAGCTGTAAGTGCCATCTTTCTTTTAGTTTTGTTGTGACACGGCCAAAATCATGTAAAAGGAAAAGCAGTAGCCTCCTTTCTGCCAAGGTCCTGGGAGTCTGCGATTTGGTGACTCCCAAGTGGATTACTGTGCACATTCACACTTGGTATAGAAAAAGCAGCCTATTACTCCCTGATGACTAAATTGATAGAGCCAAATATGAATTACCCCTGCATGCTGTTTGGCTGTTTCAGAGCTAAGCCCATACACAGGAGGATTACATTCATTTTTTGTAACAGACCTGAGATTTGAATACAGATTTCCCACAAGGTTCACAGTAAAATTGTCAACAACATCCCAATTTCTTAGGAAACTAAAAGATGTGACTTAGGTCACTTAGGGTGCCTGTAGACATGTGGGACACCTGCTCCAACATGTTGTAATTACAGCAGGCTCGATTAACTGCGTGGTCCAGCAGCCTCTGTCTCTCACGTATTCAGCATCCCCGTGCTTCAGAATGGCAGCTGGACGGCTTTAACTAAAAATCACTCAACAAGCTTTAATTTAAAGCATCCCTGCCGCCATTTTGAAGCATGGGATGCTGAATACATGAGACACTGTGGGCACTTTAATCCGAGCAGCTTCCAAGAGCCATTCTAATTAAAACACCCTCCCCACATCCCCGGAGCACATGTAATGATGCCTTTAAGCACTTGGAAACCTTCATTTCATTGAAAAATGAGGCCTTCATCTACTGGGTCTGGATTGGATTCAGGGGGTAGTTTTGCATTTAGTACCTAACTCCCACAGATTGCCACAGGAATTGTGTGTCTTAAAATATTTTAAATGATCCCTTGGTCACTTTGAAAAAGGAACAGGCCCTCGCAAGCTTGTTCGGCATGTCTGAAAAAGCCACCCTCGCCCATAAGCTTCTTAGGGGTCTTGGTCCAAGATTTGGTTGAGCTTGGGCCTGGGCTCTGAAGCAAACACTGCCAAGTTCAGAGTTTGGGATGGGTTTCCCTTTGTCCCAAAACTTGAAAAGAAATTCATAGGAAGGGGCAACTTTGTGTTTCCCAAATCCAGAATATGCGAGGGAAACAGAGCGGCTGGACACCAACCCCATAGGAAGGCAGTAGACGTTCTTTTTAAGGAGTTTGTAATGAAACCATGTGACACATGGGTCGGGGGCATGTGGGGGCACAGGGCTGTTTGACCAAGTGCTCTGACACCCTGTGAGCAGAGCTGTCAGAAAGGTAAATACCACCCCATGCATCCACACCGAGTGAACTGTCGCCTGCATGCATTTCAAAAGAGTTGTCCTCATGTTCTCTGCTGTTCTTGTGTTTTCAATGAAGTCACACCTGAAGTCTGTGACCATCATTGCTTTCAGGGCATCCTGGGTTCAGGTCTGGCTCTTAAAGTCCAAGAACAACATCGGCAGAAACATTTTGAGAAAAGAAGAAAGCCAGCAGCAGAACTTATACAGGTTTGGATTCTCTCAGTTGTCATCTAGAAATCATACCATGTATTATAGGTGCTATAAAATGCAAGAGTGAATTCCTGCTTGACAGCCTCATTTCCCATTGCAGTACCTTACACATTTTAAGTTTTGTAAGCAAAAAATAGACCTTTGAAGTCAGTCTAGAATGATTCCATGATCCTTTCTAGCCTTAAAATACGTTAATCAGAGTTCACAAAACACCCAGCCCTGTTACAGCAAAGGCATCTTTATTATAACTTCATGGATTCAACATGTAAGCAGTCACATTGCTGAAATTTTCTTGGAAAACAAAGACAAAATCTTTACTCTGTGGCACAAAATCACCAAAAACAGGATGAATTTTTTTTGTGTTTTATTTTGTGCAACAAGGAAATCCAATTCAAAATCTAGGTTTCACCATTTTCCTTGAGGCTTAGTACAGGCAGTCAAAAAGCCCAAGGCTGAATCAATTCAGTCTTTGCAGGTTAATCTAAACTGCACACATTAAACTGAAACAGAAGTGAACAGACATTCACCTTTGATTCAGGAAATGCAGCCACATGCCTGCACTGGCTCAGGCCAGAAGCCGGCAGGCACTAGAGCATGGCTCTCTGGCATGTAGCAGCACGGGCTGTGTGTTCACTTCCTTTTACTGCTGCCCCTGAGGTCTCTGGGATTTGTAGTCCAAAATCACAGCAGCAGGGCTTTGCAGGATTACTCATCACTTCCTCTTCCTGCTTATAGGTGTCTCTGGGATTTGTAGTCTACAGTTGCAACTAGCAGTAAATTTGAGCGGGGGAAGGGGTGTTTAACACTTCACCCACCATGGTCCTAGAAACCAGCTGGGGTTTGCCTCGGGGGGCAGCCCCCCCGGCCCCCAACTCCTTGTCACCCAGCCCTTACTGCTCTAGCTAGGGAGCAGAGGAGCGGGGCCAGCAGGTGGCAAAGCCCAGCCCAGGGCTGCAAAGCATGCTGGGATGCTGGGGGACTGTGATTTAACTTGAACCAGGTAGGGGTCTTGGACAGAAGTTTCATAAACCAGTTTGACCCAAATCAGTTAAGTCTGATACTATATTCAACCAGGTTTATCTTAAACCAGTTTCAGCCATTTTGAAATTGGTTTATGTGCACTGAACTTCTGTTCTGTTACAGGTTTAACCTAGTTTCTGATCACTTAAACCAGTTTATGTGTAACTTCTATCTCTAGCCTAAGAGGCTATTCCACATGTAAATAAGAGTGAAACTCAACAGTGCAGAGAATATTGTTAAAGGGAGACTGTTGTTTGGTTGAAAGGGGACAAAACTTAATGTATGTTCTTGGAAAAGAGCACTGAAGAAAAAGGAGCTAGTGCACACGGTTTGCAAAGACAAGAATTGAGCCCATTATACTTCCTTTGATTGTGACATATGCAACTATAAAAAAAAAATCTTACGTTCTGATCAGAAGTACATTGAAGTCAGTGGAAAGGTTCCCACTAGCTCCACTAGGCTTTGGATCAGAGCCTTAGTCTTTATTTCATAAAACTGAGCATAAAGTTGACAGCATGAGAGCTAACCAGTTTGACCAGCATTACCCTCTCTATCTCCTTTGTATCATGGTCTGAATAAAATTAAGTCAATGGTAAAACTTTTCCAGTGGGATCAGAATGATTGCCTTAAAAAATAGTGGTAGTTCTGGGTGCTCAGGATCTCCCAGAATCAGACCAATTTGCAAGCAAATATGTTAAACAGCATTTACTACTTTTGCATCCAAAGCATTCCCTACCAAAGCACTAGATGCTGTGAAAATGCCTGGAGTTTGACTTATCTTTTAAATTAGAGAATCACTGCATAAGAGGCTCCACCTTAACCACATTATCCCTGTGTACCAATGTTGCTAATGAAATTCTAACATTGCTCTGCAAAACTTTCCCCAGTGGTACCTCGAACAGATTACTGCCTCCTAGCCCTAGCTCGTCCACATTCTCAGATTGAATGCAGGACATTTTGCCAAACCAGAAGCACTTTTTCAGACTTCAAAATAAAACAAGATTGGTAAAATATAACCTTCTTTAGCTGTTTGAAAACAATGGGCAACACATAGTAGCTTTCCACGTATGCCCCAGGGAGGGATTTTTGAGTACCTGTCCTGAACGTCTTTTTCTGTCATCTTTATGTGAACCCTGGCACCACCTAGTGGCAACTTTCAATATTGCTATATAATAATCCAATACAGCAACTCACTTATCATGTGCTCTGTCCTTTTCATTGAAAGAAAGTGGAAGATTAACTAGCAACATTCACTTCTTTGCAAAGTAAACCTTGTTTTTCCAAATAATAACACTATCTCATCTTGCATTATTCAGGCTGCCTGGAGATACTATGCTACTAACCCTAACAGGATTGATTTAGTCGCTACCTGGAGGTTTTATGAATCAGTTGTATCATTTCCATTTTTCAGGTAAGTCTGTAGAATCCCAGACCGGACAGGGGGCGTGAAATGTATGTGGATAAGTCAGCGATTTTTCTGTGTTGCTGATGTAAGTCAAGGGAGCGTCATCAGTCGCAGTTTAGAGTGGAGTTTTAGATCAAAGGACTTCTGATGTACAAGCTAGTTTCCATGTCAGTCTTCTATTGCTCAGCAATTTACCTTTTTATTGTTCTACTGCAAATCATTTAATGTGCATTGATCTCTTGATGTTGAGGATGGTAATGCAGTTCCCTAGAGGCCAGAAAGATGATTGTAAAGTCCTATCAGTGTTGATAAGTAGATACTTATCACTGGGGAAACAGTCTTACATTTCTGTTTTCAAATCAGCAGTCTGTTCTCCTGGCTCTCATCAAACATTGGGGTCTGTAATCTTTATTACGTAGTAAAAGTGCTACAGACAGGGGTGGAGAACTGGATTTTCATATAGGAGAGATTACTTCAATAAAATAGCAACATTCCTTGGAAATGAATATGCAAAAATAGCTTTAGAGATTAAATCAATGTGTAGCAGTAATGAAAAAAGCAAGTGTCAAAGCACCACCCTTTTTTGCAATTTATAGTGCATTTCACATGCTGCTGCAAAGCAATGTACTTGTAAAGTTCAGCAATGTGGGTATGAACATGTTAGCATGTGAACATAACACAAACATACAATACACGAGCATGCGCGCACACATTTTGCCAGTCTAATTCCTGAATGTCTCCCAAATTCTATTTATCTAGTTTATATTGGCCAAAAAAGTTTTATTTTCATTAGCCTCTCAAAGGCACTGCAATTATGGGAAAGTAAGCTGGATCCTGTTCTGTTTTGACTATTTTAGAAGCTGTCTACTGAAGAACTCATCTGTCATTTCAGAGTTTCAGTTTAGTTTGCCAAGTCAGCAATTAGAAAACCAGTTTTGGTTTTGTAAGATGGGTACCTTTGATGCTGAAATCATGTAGAGAAAATGCCTGTGGAATATCCAAGTTCCATTTTAGCTTGTCTCCTAATTTCTAACTTTGATGTGGACCTCCAATTCACTGAGCTTAGGAGCCAGAAAAAGATGTCAGCTTAAGTAGACATATTATAGATTTTGCACATAATGTTTCCTTTTCAGAAGAAAAGATGTTCAATAAGTCTATAAAGATGTTCTTTTTGGACTCCACCCCAGCACGGTAGATTCCCTTATTTTAGAGGCTATTCAACAGAAATGACTAGGTGGAAAGAGAAAGATTGGCTTCATATGAGCACATTAAAATAGACTGAACTGGGAGAGAAGTTTGTTTTAAGGTGACATGGTCAAGATGCAATGCTAATGAAAATAATAATTAAGGTCAAAGCAACTGACTTGGAAGCCATACCAAAATGGAACGCTGTTCTTCTTAAATTCTTGTACTGAACCTGTCACAGTGGTGTTGAGCTTGACCTCAGCTAAGCAAAAGAGAGTGGGACATTTATGCTTACCTATTTAAAGGAAAGTCTGTAATGTATGTGTCCTTTAAACATTATCTAGAGGCATTAAAATACATCTTCCCTTTAGAAAATTGTCCCAATCAGGCAAACAGGTAGCATTGCAAGCATCAGTTAAGTGGACTCTGGTTAGTTAAGTGGACTCTGTTTAATGTATACGCGTGCGCGTGCGCACACACACACACACACATCTGTATCTATGTCTAAACCCTTCTGTTAGGGTCAAATAGGTAGCGTTTTTTTAGGGTCAGTGTTGTAGAGTCTGAGCCTTTTAATTGGGAGACTTCCAGGTGGGAGCTTTCTTTCCTTTTCTTTTCTTTTTCTTTTCTTTTGCCTTCTGACTATTTGATCTTCTAGCATCCGTTTTAAGCATAGTTGCCAAGGCCACCAACCATCAAGCTATCAAAAAGTAGTAAAAGTGCTCAAGATGTAGGCCTGAGCTACCTTGTGCCTCAGTTGCCCTTCCTATAAAGTGGGAATAATGCTCTTTCCTCAGTTTGTGATTTATAAATTAAAAGTGACATAACTTTGCTAAGCATTATAGTTATTGTCCACTTTGTATACCTGGGTAGAAGCTAGGGCTCAGTGGTACCTTAGAGACTAACTACTAAAGAGAAGCATGAGATTTCATAGGCAACAACCTGCTTTGTCAGATGCTACAAAACTTTCTAACATGGCTAACCTCCCTTGTTTCTATACCTAGCAATGCGCCATTGCTTCTACTGTGGACACATTTTAAAACGATTCTGTTTTTATTACTAATTTCAGCAAAATTCTGTGTACTTAAAATACCAATAGTGCTTGTAATGTCTATAAGAGAAGCCTAAATACTTCAGATGCGATTGGTCTATTTCAGAGGTGCTGGCAAACAGTGGCAGGTATCATTCTCCGAGTATTTCTGAAAATCAGTTGGGAGACAGCATATATTTTTCCTTCTCAACTTGTTGGTTTCAAATGTGAAACAAATCACATTTCCAGTAGTGAAAGAATAACTCACAGTTTCATGTAATCTCAAAATCTTTCTTCAGGATTGGTCATGAATGTATTGCAAACTTAATATTCAAGGAGGAAAAATACCCAGAAGTCTTTATTTAGGGCTTAGTTAATTCTCTGCTTTTCTTAACCGCCCTGCTACTCCAAACAAACTTTTGATACTCTTCACTAACATAGTCAAACCGTTTCCCAAGGGGTTATTGACCTCAGCTTCTTGTTCAATGTGTGACATCTCAGCTGTCTCATTAGAGCAGTTGAATATCCTGAGTTTGGACTCAGTGGTGGAGTTGCTAGTTTTTTCATCCATTTAAGTTTCGATGGGCGATAACTAGTTTGAAATAAAATTTCCAACTTAATAGGTGCTCTGCAGGTCATTGGAACCTGTTCAGGAGATCTGTCTGCTCATTTGAGGGCTGGAAGCTAGGGGGTTACAGGCTGGTTTCAGGAGCTCACATCTACCTTCCTTTTTATGGCTAGTTAGGGAGGAATTGCTACAGCTCTTTTCTGCTGTGATGCGGGGTCACAGAATAGAAAGGGCAAGACCCACTGCTCTACAGCATTTCCAGCAACCCCCCCCCCCAACCCATTCTGAATTTAACACACACTTTTTCTCTCCTTGCTTTTTCCTATTGCTTTCGCTTTTCTGTCCTCTAAAAGAAAGGAGCAATTGGATGGTACTGCGAGGTATGTAACTGTCACTATTATCATTGCTTTAATTAAATTGTTGAAGGATGAGTTATAGTTCACGTTTTACCTGTCTGCTTACATGACATGAACTGAATACGCTACTTAAAATAATGAACAGATAAATATTAAATAAAACCATTTGCCCATCTTATGTTCTGCTTGATATCTTTATTCTTTTATTTAATAATGAGTCCAAGATGCAAACATCTAAGTTACTGCTGACTGTAATAAGTCTAAAAACTGCTCGTCTACGAAGAAGATCTAAGCAGACTTGTGTTATACTCCACAGTCGCAGCTCAGTCATAATTGGGGTATTTGGCTTGTGACTGGGAGAATTTGAGGGTTCTCAATATTTTGGCATTGATGGATAAGCTCTGAGCAAACAATATCTTGACATCGTGGATCAGGACTGTTGAAATTCACTGTGTTCACAAGCTTTTGGAGCGCAAGTGTGGTATGTTGTTAGGATGGCAATTCAGGATAACCAAGCTCTTTGGCTGTCTTAAAAAGAGCATCCCGCTGATCCCAGGGTCTTTTTTAAAACTCACAGGCGTCAGTGGAAAGACTGCCCTTCATTTTGGTGGACAATGGGATAGCCTCCATGTGAAGCAAAGCTAGTTTCTTCAACACCTGTGTACAGTCATGATATTAGAGTCACATTATGTCCCGGAGGTCACTCTCAGTTGAACAGCAGCTCCATAAAGACACTGATAAGCCACAAATACACTAGGCAAACATTTTCCAAAGCACCTGTCAATTTGACTCTGAGGCTTAGATTTATAAAGCAGCTCGGCTGTCACTGATACCCATGGGTCTTACTGAAGTTCAGCTGGCAGCAAGATCCTCAGAGGACTTGGGTGCCCTTGTGAACCTTTTCTAACTTGCATAAATAATTAAATATTCTTGGTCCAAAGGATGAGATACTGTGGGATTGTTTGTGTGTAGGTGTGACTTTATAGCTCAGCGGTTTGGACGTTGGCTCAGGAAGAGGCGATCTGGGTTGCAGTCTCTGCCTCGGGGAATATTTAAGTCCATTCTGCCATGTGGTTGAGAGATCTCCACCCAGATTAGCTTGTGGTTTGAACACACTCCTGAGTGGTGAGTGAGGTGGGTCCAAGTACTCTCAGGCACAGGAGGGGTTTAAATTTCAGTGTCCTGCATCCTCACTAGCTCTATTCACTTAGCTATTGGAGGAAAGGGTGCCCCTGCCATCTCAATCATCCGCTAGATACCAGGGTATGAATCCTGATGGAGATACGGCTTAAGGAAGCACCAACCACCTTGGCACTGTCCAGATTCTGGCCATTTGGGGCATGCTTAGCTGCAGAAATGCAGAAAATTTTACTGACAGAAACGTAGGCGCCTGGACTCTAAAGCACTGCAGGCACCTCCACAATCATGTCAGAGCTGAGCAGTGGTTTTGAGGGTCTGAATTTTGGGCATCGCAACTGGCAGTTAGGCACCTCAAGTCTTTTTGTGACTCTAGACCTAGGTTTCTCAGGGTATGTCTATACCATGTCAGTGTGGTGCCAGACATGCTGTGTTGAGAGCTGCCGTGCCAGCTCCGCACACACTACCTCCCAAACTGGCAGCAGCACAGCGCCGTGCATATCCCTCCATGCCTGCACCACTCAGGCCTTCAGGACTCAGCACTGCACAAAGGCAGCTACAAAGTTTGTGGCTTGGGAGGATGCAGCATACTGGGTCAGTGTAGACTTCTCCTTTAACTCATAGGCATGATTTGAAAGTTGCACCTGGAGATGCCTTGTTTCTCTGGCCAGTGAATTATCCTTGCTTTGAAAGGCAGGATAATGACTGATTTGGCATTTGTTACTGCCAGGCAGCTTATAGAAATGAGGACTGGGTCAAAGCAGTTAAACACTCTCCGGAGAAGTAGACTGGAGGTGGCCATGGCTGTTGTTGGTTTGGGTTGTTAATTGTTCTTTTTTCTTATAATTTCTGCAATCCGAAATGCTAAGTTGCTCTTCTTCCTAGTTAGATTTAATAAAGAGGATAGTGCCTATTTCCTTTAATATTCCCTTGGAACAAGTGGATAATCAAGTCGTGCCTTCCTAGTACAGTCAGCACATTCTGTCTCCAGTTCCTGGCACCGGTAAAACTCTTACTGGGAAAGTGGTAGCAACAGAGTGCTGATTTGTATGTTGGAGAGCAAAGTGAGTAGGAGTCAATCCGTAGCTCCCCCAGAGGGAATACATCATAATGCAACTGCTTTATAGATTAAAGCAGAGGCCTGGCTTTATGGTGAGCTCATATATGGCCCCAGCCTTGCCACTATTGAAGTTGACAGCAAAGCTCTGTAGGATTTCAGTGGCGGTAGGACCGGGCCTCCTGACATCATTTCAGCATCACCTTTTTCTCATTTTCATGAAAAGAGGAACTTGAGTCAGGCTGAGGAGAGTGTAAGCTGAGAGCCCTGGAATCGATGATAGGATAGCAGTTTGATTTGACTCTGCGGATAGACTATTTGGGAAAGACCCAGGGAAGTGACGGAGTGGGACGGTCCAATACAGCGTAGAGGATGCCTAGAATATAGTGAGAGAAGGTTGATATAATTTTATAAAGTGGCATCCCAAAATGTTACTGGATTTGACCTTCCCCGTAGGTTATAATCAGGCAGTTATGTGGAATGGTTGGATGAAGAGCAGATCTGGCTGTGATTTAAGTCTCAGACCCATGGTGGTCGTTCCTGATGCAGTCAGATTGCTTGGATGCACACTGCTACTGGTGCTATATTCAGAACAGTTCCTCCGCCCTGTATTTTATGCATCTACATGGTCCAGGATGGGCCTTAATCTTTATTCATTAGTCAGGATTTTCCCAGGTCACAGCTTTGTGCCAGAAGTCCTGCTCACTTGCTTTGCCTTCCTTAGCACCTGAAGTACTGAGTTTTTAGTGACTGGTGAGCATGTTGTCACACAGCATTTTTGCTCTAGAAAGAAGTGTTCACTTCCTCCCTTTTTTCTGCACAGCCTAGCTCCCTGCCAGGATGCTGTGCAGGGCCTCTTCCTTCCCCAAGAGCACACCCCCAGGGGGACAGCACTCGGGGGTGCATTTGCAGTTGACGTTCTGTATCCCCTTCAACTGGCATTTATTCATTTGACAAATGTTTTCAAAACCATCTGCTAATGCTTCGTGGGTTTCTGCTATAGGTAATGCACCCTTTATTTTCCCCACAAAGGTGCCATCCACGTTAGCAGGCAGCAGACATGACGTGGGTGTCGCGTGCCCCGCAGTGGTATGCCTTGGCACGTGGCTGAAGTGGTGGAGACGAGCTCATAGAGTTTTTAACTTGCCCGGTCTATACTCAAAGTCAGTAAAAGTTCAGGCTAACTAGGGAGCATTGTCCAGTGGCTGGACTGTGGGGTTGGCTCTCACCAGACCCAGACTCTTTCTCAGGTTTTATCACCGCGTGGCTGTGAACAGATCACTTCTATTTTCGTATTTCCATAATAGAGTTGATAATAATCTTGCCTCTGTGGAATGTGTTTTGATGCCCTTGGATGACAAGAACTATGTAGGTTTCCTTATTATGTCATTATACAAGATTGAATATAATGCAATGTATTTTTGTGTTGCCAGTAATAATAAGATAACAAAAATAAAATGAAGCTTTGTGAAGAGAGTTGGGAAATGGCTCTGTCAGCACTTCGTATTAATGGACCTTGAGAAAACAGGAAGGGGTAAAAAGTCAATCTCTGATTTGCACACTACATTAAATACAAATGAAGGGCAGTTTCCATTCTTTTTCATGCAGCTTTTCATGGATAACCATTAACCTCTCATCTTAATAACTTCTTCTTCACTTTACAGTAATGTCATGTTTAGTAGGGAGTCATTCTTTGGATCAAGCCTCACCAGAAAACTTAGGTATATACCTTCAAGTAATAACTGAGCCTTTCTCTTTTCATATATGCTGCATGCCATCCTCTGCCTGCACTTTTTTTTACCACAGTAGTTCATCTAACAAAAAGGAGGGGCGGTGAGGGAGGAAAGCTACTATCTAGTACATAATTTGGCAATATTTGAAATGGGGTAAGGGAGGTCAAGTGGCCTGAAACATAGAGCATTGGCCTGGGGCTCAAGAAACTTGAGTTCTGCTCCTGGCTCTGTCAATGGCCTGCAGTTTGCCTGCTCTGCTTCAGTTTGCCCCATGTTTAACATGGGAATAATGATACAATCTCCTCTGTAAAGCACTTTAAGATCTACTGAGGAAAAAGATCATACAAGACCAACATCTTGTTGCTGTATATCTACTGTCTTGTCTTATCCAATGTGAGTAATTTTGCATATGAGTTCAATGAGACTACACACTTGTGGGTGTATTTGCAGAGCCCCAACGTCTTGGGTCAGATTCAGCAAGGTCTCTAACCATGTACCACTTCTTTAAGGATATAAGTTAAACATGCTTAAGCACCCTGCTGCACTGTGGCCACTGACTGTAAACACTTACATACTGCCCTCCTGCAAATGGACAGTGGGTGCCATTGAACATAGATAATAGGTGCTTAGATGCATCATTATAGAAATCGATTTTTTCCCTAAACTGTAACTCGTATTTTTATCCCCCCACAAAGTTTTCATATCATTCTGCTGTAACTCATTGCCATCATTCTCTCTCCATTCCCCAAACATATAAAATAACCTATAGACAACTTACCCTTTTTTTGACTTCCTCAACACCTCCCAAAAGGGCTTAGTATCTTGCAGGGTGATTGGTCCATAGGGCGCAAATGAAGGATTTGTAAGGTACTAGCTTTGTGCATGAATGATGTTGCTCTGTAGAAGCCGAGATACCAAGAGGATGAGGGACTTACTATAACTGCTAGTAGGAGCCCAAAGAAGTCATTTGTATCTCCAAAGTTAGAAGCCTGCAAATTTCGGCAAAAGGGTCACCATTCTGCTCCTGGCTCCTCCACTGTAGATGTGATTTATCAATGGCAGAAGTTATAGCTAATGATTCTAAGGCTGAGCATAGG